CACCCGACCCCTCACTACCACTCGACTTGACACTAGCGATATCTCATTCAGTATTGTCATTAATAATGAGCTCTAATTTCAATTAATAATAATTATAATATAAATATAATTAATGTATGAAAACCCATACCTTTCCACTGCCAACCGATCCGATGACAGCCAACAGTTCGCCGGGTTTTACACTTAGACTAATGTCCCGAAGCGTGGGTTCAGTCGTCTCCTAATGTATTTATAAAACTCTAAACACTTGTTGAAAGACATCAAAGAATTCATACATTATTCCAACGAACGCTCATTTTGTCTATAAAAACGCCTTTTTCTTCATTACTCGAAATGTTTTCCATTACTCCGAGAATTATCTCATTTTCACTCGAAATGAACGCCTCGTTGTCTTTCCCTTCCCTCTCATCCAAACCACTCATCTCGTCGAGTAATAGAAAATTCTATAAAATTTGATAATTGTAAATTTGACATTAACCTTTTTTAAAAAAAATTATTAAGGCAATCAATCACATAAATTGTAATAATTACCTGGATACGTTTGATGACTATAATTAGTTCACTACAAACGGCTATAGTTAACGATACATTCAACCCTATTGTATAACGCATGACATTAAAGTAGGCAATAGTGGCAAAGGCTGTCTCCGCCGACAACAGCCCATCCGTCAGTACATATGTTAGAAAACAGGCGTATATTATAACCCGTAATATAACAAAATATATCGAAAGATTAACGCCTTTTAAAAAATTTAAATAACGAATTTGTTTCACTTCTGACCTAATATTAAGTATATATTGTTTGTTAAATATTTACAAACTATATGTTTATTAGTTTATTATATTGATTGTGACATTACTTGCGAGCGGTTGCGACCAACAGTGCGAAGGGCTGTTCCCAGGCGTACATCTTTATGACACGCATTCCGGCGATAATCTCTTGCATTAAACGGATTCGACTGTCGGTTAATTTGGCCGTCTTTTGGCGTACTTTTCGAAACATTCGACTTATTAGTACTTGAAATGGTATAAACAGCACCATTACTGTCATACCGGCAAAACCCGCCCACCGAAGGGATGGCCACAATAGGTATAACACAATCGCCGCCTGCAGTGGCGCCACAAATAATGATTGTGATCTTAATGCAAACTATTTTCTCAAAACCATAACATGAAGGTTAAATGATTAGTTTTAACCATCATTATTAAATTCATAACCTAATACCTCATCAAATCTGTGGACATCGTTAGACATAATGTTCAATATCTGGCCAACGGTTGTCTGTCCGAGTGATGAGTGACTTAAACGCATTGACTTTATATAAAGTTACGAAAAATAAATTAAATATAAATGATAAAAGTTTTCATTCGTATGGGATAAACCTTGCGGTAGATAAGGGCACAACAGGCGGCACGAATTCTGAGCCCAACTTTGCTGCACGTGGCAAAATTCACATGTACTATCAACATGCTACCAATTGACGCCAGCACAATACCCACGGCTGCCCACGTGGCCAACCACTGGCTTATGTTGGGATCATTGCTGAAATATCTGACCAAATACACGATACAATACGGTTGAAACAAGTTTAGCCCCACATCCTGTTTAATTGCAAAATATTAATAAAATACATTAATAATTGAAAATATTTACTATTCATTATTATAATTATTATTTTTAATTATTATGAGTATGTATTATACCCGGATTGCATCGATTATACAAAGAACTATGAGTTCGGGTGCGAACGATGCGAATAGTGCCCAATATAACGATGGTTTTCTTTTACTTTTTAATTGTTTATCCCAATTGCTATACAAACACATGCAAAACATGATAATTTCATATTTTGAATAATTGATAAAAACTATAATTGTATGTTACATTTCCAGCTTCCGTCGGACCCGATGTGTCTCATCTGATTCCGGGCACCGGTAGAGGTCACTAAACTCGAGGTCTTTTTTATGCGCCCGAATGAATAGACTCCACAACCAACTAATTAAGACAAAAAATACAAATGTAAAATACATTACAATTTAAACCTAAGATTATAATACAATGTAAATGAAATGTTTTTATGCAAATGCACAATATTTTAAATATAGTAAATTTTTTAAAAATAAATCACCTGAATGTAACTTTTGAGATTACGTTAATGCGATCCCATGGACAAGGAATGGTAACCAATTCACCAGGTACATTCATAGTATTATTTTTAACCACAATTCAGCTATAAATAATGTGGTTTATAGGATTGTTTGGCAATTAACCATATATGAATTGTGTTTAATAATAAACGCCACTACTCTGATTGTTGTAATAGTGACATAATATTATTTTTGCTGTTACCATTGGACACCTGTTGACAATATGTGGCTATCGGCTGGTTATAACGTCCGCGCAATTCGACACACAAAACAATTACACACTTTATTGTGGAGTAAAACACATTATAACTAATATTAAATACAATGTAATATAATGGCGATATTCATGTGAGCCGTAAATATAAAGTTTCATAATTATTGATTATAATTGCAATTAATATGTAAAGTAATTGAGTGTACAGTAAAGTGCCATTAAATGCCAGATGAGAAAAAATTTATTTATAATATAACGTACTGTAACTCATTTGTATACGTAGACCATACTAACGAGAAACATGTTTAATTTAAATACAATAGCCATTATTTCTATAACATTTAATTTTGCTAATTTGTGATACATGTTTTTGAAGTAATATTATAATATCATATTATTAATATGGATAATATAATTTAGTTGTTAATTTATATGCGTTAATTTATATTAAGTTACATGCGCATTGTAAGCTTGTAATCTTTAAATGTATGAGAAGTCTATTTTCAGTATACAACATAATTAGGCAATTGGAATAGCTTTATAATTTATATAAATTAATTAAAATTACTAGATATAGTATACTAATAGTTACAGTAACATATAGTTATAGTTTTAACTTTTAACTGCTAATGTTTATAACAATTTATGCAATAGTATTATCTTTATATTTTATATTAATTTACACATATAATACCAATAATATTAAAACAAAAATTATTAATGAATCATGATTAATTGTTGTCCACTTCTCCTTCATTTTCATTATCTTTCTCATCAAAATTAATACCATTTTTGCGATAATAGTATTGTTTCGCCATTTGTTTCAGTCTAACAGACATTTCATTTCCCGTCTGTTTGACTAATTTGCTGAACAGACCATCGCTTGTGTCCAACAAATGGTGGGGAATGTCGTACTCAACCACTTGTC